CCCTTTTAGATTGCCAGATATCACTTTAGTTTATGGGTCACATTCAGTGCAATCTGATCTCAAGTTGGTCGGACCTGTAAAACTGCTGCATGATAACCAACGTGTCTTTTCATGCTTTCATCATTTCATCATCATTTTACAAAAACAGCCCGAGTTATCTTTTAAGTGCAGTTTCAGCAACATTTATTATTACATTTGCAAATCACAGCGAATCTACAAAAGCAAAAACATGTTGATATTGAATTTTTGAGTTCTAACCATTTTCGAGATCTAGAATTGACTTTCCAGATATTTCTATGTATGCAAAAGACTGCTGACATGACATCACCAGGAGCAGCAGTGCAGCTTATTAAAAAAACTGCATTTTCCATTCTTGCAAAGACATCCAGGTGACCTTTTGACCCCGGGGCTACATGTTTGTCACCTCTGTGCTAGTACGATTTCCCTCCTTTTCCAGTCGTTGCTCTTGCCACAGTTTTTAGCAGTAAGCAGAATCCAAATGCAGGACTCACAGACAAAACAAAGTAAATGAAAACTAACCTTCAATTAAGTCAACAAAAATAACAGTCCAAACTCTTGGAAAGAGCACACACAGGGCACTAACACACACAAAAACAACAGGAAACTGAGGCTATATACAAACACACAGACATGCAATCAATGGAAGAGGAAACAGGTGGGAAATGGGGCACAGCTAAAACTAATCACATACAAAAGAAAACTAAATACAAAACACGAGAGACAAATGATGATGAAGAAGATGCGGGAGGATTAATAACACGAAGAACGCAAAATCCAAGCAAAACACAAAACCTTAAACAGAAGCTAAACCAGGAGAAATAACCTGAACCTCACAATGACAAAACCCACAGGCCATGACGGCGCTGTGCCAAACTGGCTGCAGGTTAAACCACAGACAGCCCAAAGCTGTGGCCTGAGGAGGCCGTGTGTTATCTGGAATCAGGGAAGTTATAACTGACATGGATGGTCTCAAAGCTGTGGGTGTTTGTTTGTGTGCTGCAGCTCTTCACCGAGTCCTCATCTTCAAATTTTATAACAGAGGTGTTTTGATGAAATTTTACAAACCTGAACCTAACGTGGAGCTTCAGAGGAACAGAAACAATCCCAGTTTAATAAATCAGAATATTCTTTTGGTGCATGCACATCAGTATGAATCCTGCAGTTTTAGAAATAAAACCTCTGAGCTGATATGTCATGCTTAAATAACTGCATGATATATTTTTTTTGTAGTTACATATACAAACAGCACTGTGTGTATAAACATGCTGTAACTGTACAGAATGAAAATCTCAGGAGACAATGAAAGCCTGGATGTTGAGGTTGAGCCAATTGGAGATGCAGAACGTGGCCTGTCGTGTTCCTCGTGTGTGTGTGTGTGTGTGTGTGTGTGCGTGTGTGTGCGTGCGTGCGTGCACCAACCTTGTCATTAGCACTTTCTGCCGTTGCTGCTGTGGTCCAGCTCTGCTCCAAAGGCTGCTGACCTCCTGCATATAAATGAACAATGAAAAGAAATGTGTGCAGAGATATTGAAACAGCATATTAAAACCTGACCTGGGTGCGCTGAGCCCTGTGACCTGGCAGACATGTGACTGACACACACAGAAACAGAGCCTCGGCCTTAATTAACCACCGAAGCGCGCGTTCGCCTTATCGCAAGGATAAAGGAACAGGATGTGAAAATCTGCTTTCTTTTCCCGTACACCGCATACTAATGATTATTATTATTTTAACACTTTATTTTCAAAATAGAGAATATTTACAGCAAATACTGACGACATAATTGGTGTTCACAAAAAGAACGATAACAATATAGTAAAAAAAAAGAGAGAAAATCCTTTTTTTGCACTCAAAAAGAAAAAAGGGATCCACTTATCTGTCCTTATATGTCATAATTAATTATTATGACATATTAATATCTTCAGTTGAATGTCAGCACATAGATCACTGGGCAGCCCCAATAAAAAATGCCCAGGATCTTTACAAACTTTACTTTTTACAACTCCACTTATCTTTTAACTACATATTTCCAAAACTTGGAAATATAAGGGCATTCCCAAAAACAGTGAGTACACATTCCTAGGGGGTGACCTGTTGGAATGTATTTGATTTACCACAGGACACCATATTTTCCATGTATTATCTTATATTGAATTCCTTTATTTATTACTTAGAAATAAGGAATGGGATCATTTCTCCTCACCATAGGCTTTCTGTAAATCATCCTGAGAACATTCCCAGCATTGTGATTATATTATTTCTGCAGGATGTTGTAAAAACCCAAAATAAAACCTTTATTTAAAGTAAACTTCACAGTATTTTTTCTGTGGAGCCTGGAAGTGAGCAGGAATCCTGCGACGTCACATAGTGACAAATCTGAAGATATGCATAAAAATCTTTCTGAGGAAGGCCAAAGGTATTTTGAAACTGGGCAAAGGTCATAAGTTTGTTATTGTCGTCAAACAGGTCTGCTGTTAGTTTGACACCTTTTCTGCGCCAGGATCCAAATACAAGCAAATTCACGGCAGAGAGGAGGAGGTAATGTGGTTAACTAAATCCTTCCTACCAATTTATATCTGTTTATATCTCGCCAGCTTATCATTGTGTTTGGAAGAATTGGATTGTCTTTTATTTTCTACGTGTAAGCTCTCCTACTAAATCAAAGGCATTACATCCCCATTTCTCAAAAGGAGTTTAAGATAACAGTAAAGCCACTCATGGATGAGCCTGCCATGACACGCCCAATTATAATGTCTAATGTTAGGGAAGGATAAACCTCTGCAGAGAGCTGCACAGTCTTCTCCCTTGCCAAATAAATTCAGAAAAGTCTTTTTCAGTCTCTTTTGCTATCTTAGAAATATATAGTGGTAACAAGTGAACAGAATAAAGTAATCTTGGCAGGATATTCATCTTTATAAGAGTTATTCTACCCATCCATGGAGCTGTCCGATTCATCCATCTTGTAAGGTCCTTCCTTTTTTTTTCATTTTGCACTCTGGTCAAATTGTGCTTCAAGAAGGTGTCACTTCAGAGTCAGTCCAGAAAAAAGGGGAAACAGATGGATGTGAAGTTTTACTATAAAACCAACTGGCATCGCTCTTGATTTAGCCTGAGATCCAAAAAAAGATAAACCCCCTGACGAGTGAGGCTCTTATCGCCCAACTAGCTTAAGCAATGTTGACGGCAAAACTTTCCCCCAAATCCTGGTTAAAAGATTCGAGAACTATCTCCCTCTCTTAGTTAAATCAGACCAGACTGGTTTAGTTAAAAACAGAGCACCTCTTACAAACATGAGAAAATTACTTACAATTATCCAGTTTTCTATAGTGAATAAGATACAGGAGCTTATTATGTCCTTGGATGCAGAGAAGGCTTTTGATCTGGTAGAGTTTCCTTATTCATTTGAGGTCTTAGAAGAGTTTGGACTTGGACAGGGCTTTATAAATTTGGTCAATTTTGGCCATAAGAAACCATAATAGTACAACAGCACTTCAAACAGATTCTGTGCCCTACAAGATATTTTTTGTATGCTGATGACGTGCTCCTCTTCATCTCAAAATTGGAAAAATCTATACTCATGTTAATGTTGATCATTCAACATTTTTGGATCTCTTACTTCATACTATTTCATTAATTCCCTAATACATTAAAATAACTTAATTACATGTAATTATGTAGCTCTGTATTTATCTGTTTTTAATTCCCGTGGGCTGTCAGAACTGTCAGAACTCTTAATGCAAACTAAGAGTGTGTAAAGACTTCCCCAACACATCCACCCTGACACTGCTGTTGATCATCTATGTGCAATATCTCAGTCTTTCCATGTTCTGTGCAATATTTTTGGCTCATGTGCCATTATTTTGGTCCCAGTCTGTTTCAATGTTTCCTACACATACACCATGTATATAGTTCCACTCACATATGTATACATATACACTGTTTTTTATTTTATTCTATTTATTTAATTATTTATTTATTTTCCGCATTCATTGTATATTGGTTTCTCTTCTTCTTACTTTAGCACCTTTGTGGTTCAGCTACCCAATTTCGCTGTGCAAGAAACTGCACAATGACAATAAAAAGCTCTAAGTCTAAAGTCTCTAAGTCGAATCTATTAATTGCAGGATTCATCTTAGATCTACTAAGATGAGACAGGTTCAATCTGGGCTAATCCCAGGCAGCTCCAACTTTCCCCTCCAGCCAATAAAGCAGCCACAGCTGCACTCCCCATTCAATAAAGTAGTTAAAATTGTATTTAAGCACCAGCAGAGAGAAAGTTCACATCAAGCAGATCAATAACTAAATATACTGTGTACTCTACACTCTGGTTTTCACCGTGGGACATCGATCCATCAGTCCATCCATATTCTGACTCTTATCGCGGGGAAGCAGTCTGGGAAGAAATGCTCAGACCTTCCTTTTGATGTAATCACTCCAGAAGTGTCAGGATTTCCCACTCAGCAGACATGCACCTCACCTCAGAGGGATCCAGGAGGTATCCTAGTCTGATGATGAGCTATGGCTCCCTTTGAGGTGAGGAGGGTTGCTTCTCTGGGTTGGGAATGAATGACTGCACCAAGTGGTGGAGTTTAATACAGATATCTAAAAATAATTTGGTTTTCTGAACTAACAAACTGCTCAGTGAAATTCTTGTCGTGTTTCTGTGATACTCACAGCCTGTGCATGCATCTTGCAAACGTTAGCCTATATCCTTCTTTCAAACATATTTGTTTGGACCATGGATGTAACCAAGCACACATTGGTTACATCCATCACTCATATACAGTCTGTGGTGTGGGCCATATTGCTTCTATTAAGTTACCTCTGTTCCACTCAAATAAGACCAGTTTGCTCTCCATGGAAGGATCCATAATCTTTAGGTAATGTGGATTAATTACAGAAGTCTTGATGATGGAAAGTGATATCCTTGCACAGGAAGTGCAAACTCACCACAGGCACCTTCAATAAGGCACTGAGGGCAGATGAAGCTAAATTAGCCTAGGAGCAGGTAATGCATTAGGGTAATGTGATGCTCCAGTCCCTGGAGAGCTATTGGCTCATTTAAGAAGCTGTTTTATTGTATTAGGTGCAGAGCCAAACACAAGCTGGCAGCAGAAGTGTGGGACAGTTTGGCTGCCGCAGGGGGCTGCACCAACAAATCCATCCCTTACAAGCACAGATGATGTTAGTCTTTCTGTAGCTACGTGCGCTCACAGCGCAAAACCACATCTGTACTAAAGAAGCAGGCGGACCACAGGGAGAGAGAAGCGCTCCACAGCAGCAGAGCAAACGAGCTGCTGTTCTTTTTATGTTACCACAGATCTGCTGGCACATGAACTGCGACTGGATAAAATCTGAGATCCAGACCCCATAATGAAAAAATCTCAACAGACACGAGAAAGCTTTAACGGGCTGAGCCAAGATGAAAAAAAACTCGGTGGTGATTAATTCGTTTTTCTGAAAAGACTTCACAGCTCGCTAACAGACAATAATAATGAGATTGTAATGAATGATAATTGAGCTTTTTAATGACTGAGGGGCAAGACGGGAACCAGCAGGTGGTGAGGTTGTCCCGTCGGCACAAAAACACACCAGCGCGACAGTGACGCCCGTACACGCCTGCTGATGAATGCTTCGGCCGGTAACTCTCAACAAACGTTACACAATCGCTCATTTGTTGACGAAGAACTTTACGAGGGAAAATCGGGTCATTTCGCCCGCCTGGTTTCACAAACTTCTTCTTTATGGCTGCCAGCACATCAAAGAGTTGTTTTGGCAGAATATCGCCTGGCGTTTCAGCAGCATTTGTCTGCCCCCTCGCCGTCACACCCCTGCCATTATGTAACTCTAATCATCTTATCTGGCTAATTACTGACCGAGACCCTGAACTCACCTCTAAACTTCATGCACACGACTTATACCGTGTTTTTCCCACGTTCTCTTCAATTATACCCCCAAATCCTTTTTTTTTTTTTGGTTTAACACCAACAGCTGGATATAAGCGTAGTTTTTACTGAGAGCTTTAATAAATTCAGTGTGTATGTGTATTTGTTTTGCTGTACCTTGTGTCCAGGAAGGGCAGTGTCTGAGGTAGAAGCTGACCTCGGGCCTCCTGGCTCCCCACTGCTGAAGGAGATCCAACAATAACAACTCCTGAGGGAGAACTCGCTCTGAGAACAGACGAAGGGTGAGAAAACATTTGACAAAGATCCCACTAATTACATAACGTCACACTATTGTGTTATAGAGCTAGAAAGAGATCATTCAGAATTTACAATTTTACAATTTTATCAGGTCAACATGTATAATTTCACTGACTAGTTTCCAAAAATTACCTGTGCACGTTGTGTACGGCCAAAATTGTCTATAAACGTATCCTCCACACATAGATACTGTAAAATATGTCTTTTTTACAAACTGTGCAAACTGTGCAAACTGTGCAAACGCTACGTCCAGATGAACAGAATCAACTTTTGGAGATTTATTTTCCTGGATGATTGAGAATGCATCAAGACGATGTGCAAAAGCTCCTTATAAGAGAATGAATAATCTTTGCTTTGGAATAATTAATAAGAATTCAAAATTGCAGCTGTATTGTTGTTGGCTGTGCATCAAGCCACGCATGTAGGATTGAAAGGTTTGCAACATATATGCAGCATATGCAAGACAGCAACCCATCACCATTGTCTGCACAGTGACAATGAAACGCACAAAACCCCAAACCTCTTTCTAAGTGGAGCGGGGCTTTAAGGATTTATTTTTACCCTTTTTTTGCAAATGTTAGTGTGGAAAAATGAAGCCAGAAAAAAAACCCAGAGAATCAATATTTTCACAGTGAAGTAAGCCAGCTGTGCCCTCGAGGCACAGCCTGTTGTCACGCACCAACACTCGGCACACAATTTATGCCGCCATCTATTATGTGCTGCTTCACACAGACACTCGCGAAGACATGGTGTAGTATTAGAGCCGTTTATATCCTGTCTGGCCGCTCAGTCACATCACAAAGCCGCACAAACGCACCGCCGTTACTGCGCGGGCATCACCGCGTCGACAGCTATGACTGAATGAATGTGGGCCACGCTTTAATGGACGCCCTCGGTGTGTGAATGAGATGGGCTGGTCTATTCATATAGTAAACTTGGAGCACGCAGCGCATTGATTTCACGAGCTGAAGCCGCAACATACTGTAGGTCTGACTCGGTTTATAATTAGCTGCACAGCAAGTGACCCAGATCTGAGTTACGCCGTGTCGGTTATCCTGTCTCTTAATGCAAGATTATAATCATGCAAGTGCTCCGATGCTCCAAAGACAGACTGCCAGTAGTAATTATATGAGCTGGACTTTTTATGATTAACGAGTGTATGCATAAAGAGATGCACAGCGAGAATAGTCCAGTCCTGTTCAGCTAATTTTCTAGATGTAATATCCTGTCTTGTCTTGGCTGATTTCTAACTTTGGTCAAGATTTCTTACTGATTATGATTATAAGCCTGGGCGCCTCCAGGGTGAGGTGTTCAAGGGCATGTCCCACTGGGAGGAGGCCCGGGGCAGACCCAGGGCATGCTGGAGAGATTATATCTCTTGGGTGGCCTGGGAATGCTTTGGTGTTCACTTGGACAAGCTGGAGGTGGCCGGGGAGAGGGAGGTCTGGGCTTCTCTGCTTAGGCTGCTGCCCCTGCGACCCGGCCCCGGATAAGCGGAAGATGGACGGATGGATTATGATTATAAGTTAACAGAAAATATGAATAGCGGGTTGTTTTAGGGATATATTAGGGATATCCCCTCTCTTTGACATCACTGAGGCGAGAGCAGAACCTGACTTAAACAGAGCAGAACTGAGCTTACAGCTTACTGGGGTTATTTGTACTTACACTGACCTCCTTATTTAAAAGTTTGGTTTTAATATGAGCATCAACCACCGGACCAGAGATGTGACAGAAGATAGTCTGAATTTAAGCACCTAAAAGGGCGACTGACACTGATCAAATGATGCCACTTTTCAGCTCTGTGTGTGAGTCTGCAGCTGCTGAATAATGCATTCGGCGGCTCCACTTTAAAGCTTTCATGAAGTTAATGTCTTGCATTTGCAGCATGTGCTGCTTTCCTTAAGTGATACTAATCAATAAGCATTATCAACCGATGAATGGACTCACCATGCCCGTTCCATACTTCAGCTAGGTGACACTCCCCCTCACCGGCCTCTTTGCAGTACTCCACCACATCGATAACTCTGGTCGCTGGAGTGACAGGGACCTCGGTTAGCATCTGCTGGGTGTCATTGAGGTAAACTGTCAGGATCACCTGCAATCAAAGAAAAATCAGGTTAATATCACTTAGATATTATTTTATATGGACCCCCAAACTCAGTAAGATTGTTTCCTATGACTCACAGGCTGGAATCAGATCACCAACCTCCAAATGCTGATGAAATAACTAATTTATCAGCCATATTTAAACTCTTATTTTGAAGGAGTTATTGTGGCTGGTAGCGATGATTACATTCAAAGCTAAAAATCCCAGTATGAAGTCAAGACCACCTCTGCAGCTGGGTTTCATTATGTGCAGACAACAGGTGAGTCAGCTGTGATATTCAAGTGAAAAATAGGTTTAATACAAAAGTAATGTATTAAAAAAAAACAACACATGTTAATGTTGGGCGATATGAAGGTGACCAAGGAGCAG